CTAAATCTCAACTGTATTAGATGTTAATGATCAGCTAATATTCATTTTTTGTCACAGGGTGTTTGAGGCATCTTCTATAACCAACATTTAACAAGAATTTCTTGCTTTATATTATTCTAAAAGTACCTCTCAAAATAGTTTTGTTTTATTTTATGTTGGAATCAATTTTGTGTTTAGTTTTTTTATTTTTAATTGAAGGACTGAATTATATTTCAGTAGCTTATTTCTTGTATTACACCCCCAGTTCAGTGGAAACACAGAGATGCAGGATATAATTGGAATGATCAAAGACATGTGCTTTGTTATCTTACCAACTAAAGACCCTAATGTTTGGGTAATTGGGCCCTATCCTATTTTGTTGTTGGAGTGCCCAGCAAATTAAGAACACGGGGTCACTGAGTGCAGTGTGGCTTTTCTTTACGAAAGGCTCCCCGTGGCTATCTTATTACAAAAGATGTATATGAAAACTCTGGATCACAGGATTTCAATTTAAGTCAATATTGGAGCACTGTTTTCATTAGCACAGTGAAAGACAAAAATATTGATAAGCAGAGAGGTCTGACTGCCAATTTCATCTCCTATCAATCAACTATGGAAGTTGTCCCAGCAAAGTCAGAGCACAGTATATAGCTACATCAGAATTGAAAAGCCAACGAGTTTCTACGTCATCAGAATAGATTTGATTTTGTTCAATAAAGACAACATTTGTTCGTAGCTTAACAAAAGCCAACCATACATGCCTTTAGAAGTCCTGCTATTGTCCTGTGTAAGCAAAGGTCGATAAAACAAACACTATCTGAGTGTGTAGTTAGCCCATTTGCAGATTCAGCCAAGATAAACTTTGGACATAACGCATTGAAGCAGGGAGAAAGGTAAGGCATGCTTGATTTGACCCTTTCTGTGGAAAGACGATTTTGGGGCAAGTTTTCCAGTTAAGTAACACACCATGAGATTATAGATGCAGTCTCTAACTTCTCACATTTCTAGCTTCAGTCTCCTTAACTAGTTTTCAATAGAGATATCTTGAGATGAGAAGGGATTGGTTTTTTGTGTCCCAGATCAGTTGTAGGATTTTGAACTGGATACTCTATACTTCCTTTCCTCAGGCCCATAGGGATTTCTTTCTTGTGTAGTAGGCAGCTCTTCAACCCTTCATGGTGAAGTCTATTGGATTAGCTGCTCCAGTGATTTAAATTTACTTGTTTGTTCAAGTATGTAGAGCAAGTTGTTCAGTTCCCAGACATACGAAAATGTGATGTGTCTCATTATCAGGTACTCCATCTTGGCCGATCTTCTAGGTCAATGATGTTGTCTTGGGCAGCAGTCCATTTCTGATGTTATCGTTACTGTAATTAAGACTTCGTTTTTTTTTACTTTTGAAGAATTCTGCTTGTCTCCTTTCATTAGCACAGGGAACTGGATTGAAATTATTTCAGTCTTTTTGGTGGTTTGTGGTATTTTGTTGATAATATGTCAAGAAATTCTACACACATACAGCATCATGGTTGTAAAGAGAGCTGGAGTGTGATTGTAATGAAAACTGTTGGGAGGGATCCAAACATGTCTACAGGTTTAGAAATAAATTGGATTGAACATAATGTAGTGTCAATTGAATAAGAATGTAGAAATAAACCATTCCTCTTTTCCAATACACACTTATGTAGATATGCTTAGATTGATCTATCCAGTTGCTGTGTCATGTGGGTGTCATGCATATATATTTGATAACATCAGTATTCTCCCCTCGGTAGTTCAGTATATTCCATAGTGAGAGATACCTTCAGAGAATATTAGGTAAGTTTTAGTTTTTAATCTTTCCAGATAATCTTCACAGACTGTACAACCACTTTATTATAGGGTAATCTTAAGTTAAGGAACTGCTGAGAGCAATCTCTACAATAATGAGACTGCTTTGGGCTGAGTTGGGGAGATGTATTACTTTCTTACATGTGATATGTTTTCATTTTACATTTATAAAGCACATCTAATGAAAAGTATATTTCTTTGTCCAGCCACATTATGGTCCTTGATTCAGCTTTTTTAATCAAATAAGAAGAAAGATGTAAAACAGCATGCAAAACAGACATTTGTATAGGAAAGCAATATTGTTCAATTGGATGATTGTTTGACATTCATTCTATTACCACAGTCTGCAGTCAGTCCACGATGAAACTAAATCATTTCCTGATTCAGAATTGATAAAAACCACATCTATCTATTAATGCAAGTCTGCTCAAATTATGCTCACCATTGTAAATTAATATAATTTAACATGAAAAGCTATTAGCAGCAGTTTCCTCTATCAGCTACAAAAGTAATTCTACAGTTGTAGTTTGCCTTTTTTAGTTGGGCCAGGTTTGTGCAAAAGAGTAAAACATCCATTATTGTTGTCGGGTCATTAGTGAGCTGCATGCCTGTCTGTCCCAAGTAGCGTATAGGAGTAGGGTGAGGCTGTGCTGAGGATAATCAGATATGTCGCGTGGGAAGTGATATGGTATCCATCTTGGAAATAAGGGAAATAAAACAAAACTGAGAGTGGTCAGGATCTGAGGTAAGGAGAACAGCAGGAGAGGTCCCAGAGGTTTTAGAAATCTGTAATCCTCATAGTTATGTGTTGTTAGTAAGCCAGCATTTGTGATTTATAGATGTCTGGTAAAGGCCATGGGATGGTGTGACAAAATTACCCTGCATTTCTGGTTTGTTTCTTTGAATACGAAATTTGGTTGATTTCTAGACAATTTAAGGGACCGACTAAGGATCTGTAAAATGTTATATGTGCTGTTTTGAACTTGGACTTTATCTGGCATGAAATGTTTAGTACTACATATTATAAGCCAGATATAGTTAATCAGAAGAGGTACAAAAGCCAAAGTTCTGCAAATAATTGATCCGGACAGGACAAACATGTAACAGTGTAAATGAGAATGGCAGAGCACCTATAGTCATCCAGGAGGTACTTCTACATTACAAGTATTATGCTTATTGATTAATCAATTTCCAAGCAGCCTTTAGATTACGTTATTCCTTTTAATTTTTAACTGTTCAATTTTTGTGTCTGATAAGGGATTTACTGTTTTCTATGGTATCTGTTACTAAAACTATCAACAGAGCTTTGTAACTAACACCAGCTTCACTTAGCAGCTCGGGACACATCATATCCACCATTTGTGTTTGCTACTGGTGAGCAAGATGGCTGCCATTAGAGGAGAGTAGAGCGCTTAGGACAAGGGGGCAAGCTAGGTGGAGGTAACAGTTTTCAGTTGACGCTTGTACATTAAATTATGATTTTACACGCCATGGTCCAATATATTGGTAGGCAAATATCACCTAAGGGTAGCTCTCATTGCCAAGTGGAAGAGCCAGGTCTGTGTTCATGACTGTCTGATAGGAGTGACCTTGTTATGGCTCAGTGCAGCTGCTAGCCCAGGTAGTCGTGGGATGGTGATTTATATGATTTACATGAAGGGTTTTCTGTAGGCTCAGTAGAGCTGCCTGTACAATGGAGCATAGTTGGTTAGGGTAAATGTAAACTTCTGTTATGTGTTACAAAGAGCCCATTTTTAGTAAGGCTATAAACCAGACTTCAACGAGATTTGACAGAAATTGACTTAATAAAAGAGAACCATTTTTAGGCTGTACTGTATGTAAAAGTATAGCAATGCTTAGTTTATTTTCCCACCATGCTTCCCTTTTAGTTCCCCTTTCTAAGACTGACCTTGGCCTACATATTGAAGAACAGGGTGAAGATTTTCATGTGCAATTGTAATTAGTTGAAAACATAGCTTTCCATAGACCCAACATCAAACCTTAGCCTCAAATCAGATCAGAGATAGTAACTATAAGCTATGATAAATGGAAAATGCATTCAAATCTACTTGGTTAATGACTTTATAATGCCTTCCATTATTGTTTGATAGAACCCTGATAAAGAGGGCCACCTCTCTGTTCACACAAGTGGACAGTGAACATAGACTTCCGCCCGACTTCTGCATAACCAGTTCTATAAGATGTCTGTCTGTCTGAGAAATTATTTCTTCTCCTTTTTATTTTCTTATGCATGTGTTTCTGTGAAATATCAATCATGCTGATTGCATGCACAATACCATTGCTGTGTCACTGAAGAACTACAAGGGTATGTAAAGGATGACTTTCTGTGTGAATCCTTTCTTTTTTGTACTGCTAGTGCAATATTTGTGTGTCAAAGAAAGCATGGAAGGAAGTTCATTTAACTATGGGGGTCAGTCTAGATCATTTGAATACATGGAAGTAATCTGTATATGAGGTAAACGTTAAAATATTTTGAACAGAGTCACCAGGTCTTCCTAACCATTTTCCATGGGCTGATGAGGGTGTTTTCTGAAAGTATTGTGTACAGAAAAGCTGATGGCGGTAATCACCTGCCTGCATAGGCGGCTGATGACCCTGGAGGAGCAAGCTTATTTGGATATGTAACAGGAGCAGGGGGGCATCAGTTGACAACCCATTTGTTCGAGCAGAGTCTTTTTTCCCTTACGGCAGAGGCTTGTAAGTGGTTTGATGGCCAGCTTATTCAAGGTGCCTTGCTGCACATGCCTCTGACAACTTCAAACCTCTGACAGAGAGACAAAAATGGGGATTTATTACATAGACCAGCTTTTGAGCAAAATAGTGACATTGATTGCAAGTTCTGGCTGAGCTTAGGGAATTCACTATATGAATTCCAGTTCTGTAAAAGAGACACATGTTAAGACTATGGTTATCTTCTAAGCTGTACTAATTGTGCATGGCTCATGAATATATAATTATTAGCATGAACATTATAGTCATTAATAATTTATCATTTTATCTGCCTTTGACTTTGTCATTAAATTTTAGATATGCCCTGCTGTATGCGAAGGACAAGTTTCCCTCTGCGACTTTGCAATACTGGTAGATTGATTGGTAAGACAATTGTAGTGCACGTGTATTAAATTATTTATTCAAGCAGAAAATTAACCAAGACACTGTTTTGTTTCTTTTAGCTCTAGGAAGCTTGTGGCACCACCTCTGGAGAATGGAGGAGGAAGCTGCGGCCTCCATGCCCATGCGGGGGCGGGCTAAAGTCAAAGAAGACAAATACTGTGGGGTGTGCGGGGACAGAGCCCTTGGATACAACTTCGATGCTATATCTTGTGAATCTTGCAAAGCCTTCTTTAGGAGAAATGCCCCAAAAGGATTGGTAAGTGTCATGGGAAGTGGATTGAAGGAAATCACATTGAGGATGTTTTGTATGTCTTTTTCAAAAGCCATGAAATCCATCTTTTTGCCAAGAAGGCATCTGGAAAAAAAATGACAGATTATTGAGTAGCACAGTAACCAGTATTTTAATGCATCACTGTGGCCACACTCACATTTTTGTGTTGTCCTGTGATATGCGCCACTGATTTCATAGCATATTTACTTTCATAGCAGTTGTACATTAGTAATAGTGCATACCACAATTATTTTGAGTTATTCAATCCAAAGTCATTCATATTCATTTGTGAACAAGGGTCCAAGATTTGTTATAGTATATGACAATATGAGTCTAAACATCTGGTCAGTAATGTGAACATCAAAATATGTCCTTCAGTTATAGAGTATTAACTTTTCACATCATTGATGAATATGCAAACATCATGTTTTGCTTTCCACCAGCAATATTGACAGCAGTATATGAAAAATATTCCTCCCACCTCCATATTACTGTTAATACAGATAAAACATCATGGTAGAACAGCTTACCTTTCAGTATTTAAATTTCATATTGTTGGTATTACATTTTCCCATCTTTAATGATTGTACAATATTTGTAATTTTTTGCCGGCTATATTTTGCGCAACATTTGTAATTTTCTGCCAGGCAGTATTTATTATTGGTGCTACACAGAAGTGATCCCTATTTCCAGCATATTGTTTTGCTTCATTAAACCAAGAAAAAAAATCATTACCGAAATTTATAAATTATTGAACAATTTTGTACTGATCATACCCACATTGTGGGCTGCATGGTTTATTTAATACACCAGGTTCATTCATTTTCTACTTACTCTACATATGTACACTTATAAGCGTACCAAGTTCAATGGGATTTAGGTTGCTGAGTGTGCCAAGCCACTATCTCCACAGAGGGTCATACACCTGTCATAAGAGACACCTTAATGTGTGCATACAAACTGGTAATTATCAATAGCTGCATAATGCTTTAAGCCTTGTTTCACAGCTGGCACAGGCCATAAGATGAAGGCCTGTAATGCACGGAGAAAACTAAAGTGTCCTTGTAGCAAGATTAGAGAATTATGAAGGAATAGTATTGATTGGATAGAACAACATAAGAGTATTAATTATACACAATTGGTGTTTAATAATTCACAGGATTGTGTTGTAATTATTTGTCCCACCGACGTCTCTGCTGTACACAATGATACTGGTATGTTGGAGAGAGACAAAAAAAGAAATATTGTACCTTGGGGAATAGACCCTGAAAGGCAAAAAGAGTCATGTTAAGGTCAGCTGATCTGCTAAGAAGAGCTGTCCTCAGGAGCAAGTTGTTGAGTTAATATTAAAAGTACTTTTAGTTTCTGAGCTAAGGAGTAGGGCAAGCTCTGTTTTATTTTTATTGCAATTTTTTGGCTCATTGTAAGACAGTATTTGGTTATGTCTTAATTTATTTATCTTGAATTCAATTTTTTTTAAATGATAAAAATGTTCTTCTCTGTCTATAATCTGTTATAACAAATTTAATGTATGTGAAATATTTTTGATATTTTCTTCATTTTAAAAGAAACAGCATGGTTTGGGCATTGGGCATCAGTTGATGAGTTTTACATTCACAAATTTGTTATGTAAATATTGGGTGTTGTCTTTTTTAAACAAAGGAGAATGGAAAAAAGACAAGGGTGAATTGGTTTCACTTGTCAGGCCAGATGTGAATTGTTGAGAATGCATGTCATATTGCCATGGCAACATGCAATTCATTATTCATTTTCGTAATGAGATTTAAAATTCTATGTGTTGGTGTTATATGCCTGAATGACACTTCATTGGGTGGAATGGATCTACGCTGGTTACAATATTATATTGGCTCTCAACAACTCAAGTGTTGGTATATAAATAACCTTCTAAATATCCATCCATTATACCAAAGAGGTACTTTTGGTCATGGGTGTTAACAATTGTTTTTGCTTTCCTTAAGTAATCAGGTTCATTTCTAAGCAGTGTTTTTTATCTTTATGTTGTTTTATTTATCATTTCTGATATTAAGATCAGCTTGAAATACAAAAAAAAAAAAAAAAAAAACAGAGACATTAAAGCAACTATGAATTTTGTAACAATTTTGGGTAAGTAATTAATTTTGATTTAGATAAAAAGACAGTTATTAGAAATTAGATTAAATTAAATAGTATTTTAGAATTTTGCCTGTCAGTTATAGTGGATAAATAAATAATTAAATGAATAAGTAAGTAAATAAATAAATTAAAACTTTTTTCTGCATCTAATTCAAGTGCATAATGTCTGTTAAAAGTATATACATATAATATGGACTACTTTCAATATCATGTGAAAAATAAAAATAAAATCATAGTATAAGATTACCCCAAGTTATTAAAAGATGTGTACTTTCTATTTGGGCATCTGGTCCACATAGTGATGTTAACTGTCAGTACTTCCTGCGATAATCTTTCTTAATTATCTCTAGTCTCACAAATAAGAAGTTCTTTAAGGTCTCTCCTTTACCCTCTGTCTCTGTACATGTTTTCTCTGCATGTGCATTACATGTCGACAGTGGCTGAGCCTTTTGAAGGGTCTCCCCTGACATGGCATATGTGAGCTCATCCGGTCAAAATGCTTACTCTTATCCCCACTCTACCTGGATCCAATCACTGACTAGGGTTCACTCGGTGCATTTTCTGGGGTCATTCGGTGCAGCAAAATATTTCCTAAAAGGAATGTAGTAAGAAAATGATTTCCATTGTTTGGGTATTGAAGTAACCTGACATGTGTGAAAACAGTAATTTTAACCAACGAGTGATATTTTCCCAATACACAAAAGCAAACTTGAGATACTTGTGAATTAAGGCACTAGGGGCATTATCAATTATAATGTGTTAATTCAGATGGTTTCTCAAAACAGAAATTGAGTTTTGACAGCAATAATAGGGCCCAGTCACCCAGCACTAACCTTGAATATAAATAGAAAGCCTGGGGTCAGTCAATACCTATGTTTGGAGTGTGGCTCAGTGACTTTTTGTAATAATAACATATGCCATTAGTATCAGTTAAATTAATTAAGACCACAGAAATAAAAGTAACATGATTATTGGCCATTTATGTCTGTCATGCTTTATACACACTTGAATGTTTTCTTTGGAGAATATGGATGGTCTTATTATGTTTTTCAATACAAGTATAACAATTCTTAAATTCTTTTTTAGATAAATGCTGCATGCATAAGATAAATTGCAATTGTCAAATGTGAAAACATGGAGTTATTACATTGCAACCATTTTGTTATAAAATTCAGTGTTGCCATACCATAACACAGTATTTAAAATGAATTGTTTTCCTTAATTCAGCAAGGTAATATCACATTTTGTCTGTTTTAGGAGTACTTCAAATGCCCGTATGATGAGAAGTGCAAGATGGATGTTTCAAATCGGCGGTTTTGCAAGCGCTGCAGGTTAAAGAAATGCTTTGAAATTGGCATGCGGAAAGAATATATCCTCACTGAAGAGGAGAGAGTCAGGAAAAGACAGAAAATTGAGGAAAATCGTTATGTGTAAGTTTATTAGTCATGCCTTGCCTAAAAAGTTAACCTGAGTAAACTGTCATACTAACAAGTGCAGTAAATTCAAGATGTTTGACTTCTGACATTTTCTGTCAAGAATGACGTTGTTCAATAAACTATTCAAAAATTGAAGTTTGTGACCTTTGTCAGTTAAGTCAGCTATGTTTTTCATACTGGTGAAATTGCATCACATAATTGGCCATGGGAAAGCATTCAAGAATATTCATGAACATACAAGTTTATGCTCTGTTAGCAGATGACATTTTATAATTGTTTTGATTTTTTTTAGGCGAGTACGAGAATTAGAGAAGCAAGGGATCACTATCAAAACTGAAAATGGTGTGGTGTCCAGTTCCATGTCCCCTTCTCGCCGTCTCACTGATGAAGAACACCACATGATAGAAGAAATCAGGAAAGCTTATAGGAGCTCGTTAGAAATCACAGTGGAACCCATGAGGCCGCGGAGTAAAGAAGAGACCAATGTCAATGATTTGGTCAACATTGCTGAAATAAGTGTTCGCAGAGTCATAGACATGGCCAAAAAGATCAAGACTTTTAAAGTTCTCCCACAGACCACGCAAATCAGTCTACTGAAAGGCGGCGCCATAGAACTTCTCATCCTACGTTCTGTGCTGACCTTCGATAAAGAAAAGCAGCAGTTTTTGGATCCAACAGACGACCCTGACACTAACAGTATGTCAGTGGATGAACTCAAACAAGGAGAGGGGGCCCTCTTTGAGGAACACATGAGGTTTGTGAAGGGGCTAGTGGAACTTAGGGCAGATGAAACCATGCTAATTCTCATGCTTTGTGTAGCTTTGTTCTCCCCAGATCGCCCTGCACTGGACAATAAAGGTATAGTGAGCGAGGAACAAGAAAAATATTCATTGCTTCTTCAGAAATATTTAGAATCAAAATTCCCTCTTCATTATGCCAAAGCAGTGTTTCCGAAACTGCTAATGAAGTTGGTAGACATTCGGAACTTGAATGAAGAACATTCACAAGTGCTTCTGAAGGTAAATCCAGAAGGCATACAACCACTGATGAAGGAAGTTTTAGATTTAAACAATACTTGAGTACTACGTAGTACAAGGAAACAAAATAAACCTCAGCCAACCAGAGGCACCATGTTAGACTGTTGCCTTGTGTACATACCTATACATGCACTGGACTTCACAAGGACTTAGTGGACTGTGAATGAAGTGACACTGAGAGTGAAATGTGCATGTTGAGGAAATGTCAGGAAATAATTAACTCGACACACTTAAGCAACACCAGCTTCAATCATTGTTGGTTTATTTACCTACAACTGGGATGTCATGACAAACTGCTTCTTTCACTTATCTTATTACTTATGAAAGTTCACAGAGGGGCTGGCCCTGCCAGACCTTTGTGCCAATGTGTCTGTGTCTACACCAAATACCAGTACCTACATGTGATATCCCCCTCTGTTACACAGTTAACCTGCCAAGGTAGATCTTTCTCAAGAGAGATCTGGAATACCTTACTGCTGAAAATGTGGAAATTATCTGCTTAGTGGAACTAGCAGTAGCTGAATTTATGTTTGGATTGGTATGCTTCATTTTTAAAAATTCTGAATACTATTATCCTGAAGGGAATTCTTTCATCACAGGGGTTGAGATTAAATGATATCATTATTGGTATTTATTGTTATTATTTGTGCATTTCTGGCATTACACATTGGTGTACAAAGATAGGAGGGTTGAAATGTTCAGCAACTTGATGCATTCACTACCTCCAAGAATTTTCACCAACCACATGGTAGAATTCCCATTGCTCCTAAAGAGTATATACCAAGTGCAAGGGACCTGTCCTACCTTTAATTTGTCTCTGCTTCAATGCAGAGAAATGTAGTGCCTGCCTGAGAGAAAACAGCACTGCTATTGCTGTACTGCTGCTTAGCTTTTCTAATTTCACATATTTTAGTACAAGTAAAGCAACTTGTAAAATTGTTGTTGTAAAATTTTAACTGTTGCTTATTCTTTTAATCTTTGTTATGAGTAAGATAACAATACTATATATAAATATATATATATATACACACACACACACACACACATATAAATGATTTACTAAAATTAATAAAGTAACCGTTTGAACTTGATTTGAACATCAGGGACTTTGTTATGATAATGACAATGTTACCACTGTGTATCTGATGACAAACTCTTGTCATTTGAAGCATCTATTATTTAGTTGTTATGGCTATACAACCTGTTCTTGAAAAAACACTTTCCATCAAGTTGAGTGTTTTAGGTATTCTTGTCTGTCTTTCTTAAACTTGTATGTGTAGAATACTTAAGCTGTAGGGTAATCATAGCCAAGAATTCATCATATTTTTATAAGTTGAAACTTTTTACCCCTAGAGAAGAAAAGTTCTGTTAAACCATATATAATATGGTAACATTTTTGTTTTTATTTGTATTGTGATGTAAACAATGTTGCCATTAATGGGAATACAGATATACAACTGCTGTAGAATGTCCAACCAAGCATGTGCACCTAGCACTACAATATGTTAACAATGGAAGAACACGCATAATAACGGGTTTTAAGTGACATGCAAGTATGTATGCGAGCTTACTTCCAGTGGCTCCATTACCGTCTGATACTGCTGATTTTAGGGAGGTCCTACAACACAGGGACAATAACATAGTTAGGAGTTTGCATTTTACATAAATCAAAATGCTAGTCATAGTAGATGTAGATATATATATATATATACATACGTACGTATAAGAGTGAATAAGTAAGCTCTTTCTTTCTGTGGAAATATGGCCAGTCTCAGTGGAAAGTAGTGTTCTGCATGTACATGTTGCGTGTGAAAAATTGGCATCGACACTACATTTGGATTGACAATATTGTGTGTGTGTGTAGTGCAGCTACATTGCTGACCATTTTGCTCTGCCATGTTTGTTTCAGTTAACACAACTTAGGTGTGTCAGAAATAAAATCAAAATTTATTTTGTAATTAAAAGGTGCAAAGTGTGACATTAAGTTAAACCTTTAGGTGCTCATTATATCACTTGAATATAGTTGTACTCTGTAGACAGTTTGCTCTTGTTTTACATTTTTTTTTTATCCAATGTACTAAACATATGTTGATGTGTTAATGAAATGCCAAGACACGCCTTTATGAACAGCTAGCCAGGCCATGCGACACAGAATTTTACTAATTGAGTTTTAGAGAAGAGGTGGTCATGAAATTTAACTTGTTTTATTTCAAGCTTTTTAAAGAGCTTACTTGGTGGTGTTTGTACATTTTGGGTCATTTTATTTCTGTCTCCGGTGTTGTGCTGATGCCAAAATATTCTAGAAATGCTTCATAGGTCATGTGGGTGAGAGTGGCACACTGGCAGCAGATTTATACATCATTTCATAATTTATCTTTTAAATGTTTTATTATTTCTTCATGCATGCAAACACAAGTTCTCAACTTCAATAGATTTCTATTACAAAAACTACTGGTACCTTTAAATGGCTAGTACTCACTTTGATTAGTCCAGCTGAATAGTGTACATATTTTTGCAATGAATGCTGATTCTGTATGCTTCGTACATCTATATGAATAAAGTATGGATGTGATTTAGGAATTGATGTCTTGGGTTTTTATGTTGTCATGGAAAGATATAGTCTAATTTTAAAAGCATTCTTATGATGCTATATTTCATTGATATACCAATATTCTTGGAAAATTTTCTGAACAAATATTGTGGAAGATTCTGTTAAGTCAACTATTTTAATATTTTCAAAACTGATACTCCTTCCAATATTGTTTTTTCAACATTTGATTGTAGAATTGTTTAGCAAGCCAAAAGTAAACTCTGTCAATCTAATTTAAAATATTCTTAGATTCAAATGATTGATACCATAAAACAAATTTGAAACTGATTTGATGTAGCAAATGTGCAAGAAATGTTTTTTTATCTGTTACCATATGAAAATCGTATAGACATTTTACAAAATATTTAAGGTTCCCAAAACAATAATTAGCAAAGCCAATTTTGTTTGGAATCTCTGATCATGGATTGAGACACAATAAAATCAGTGCATCTTACCATTTTGCAGCTGTACCTTCATTACAAGGACATGTCCTGGTAACTGGGTTACTAAACCATTTCTGTTTCCTCCAAGAAATAAATGTTGCCAAAATCAGCATAATAGTAAGAAATCACAAATAAATAAGAGGTTACTCAGTGCATACCATTGCACCTAAAAACTATCTGTAGTTTGGCCATTTGCTTGAACTATTAGCACTCCTTTTTCACATACATAACATTGACCCAAAACATGATGTTGTGTTGATGGACATAAATCTTATTTATTGACAATTTATCAGAAAAACTCCATTAACTCTATATGGATATTTGCATAACAAGAATTCTCACTTCTGAAATCTCTTTGAAGTGTCTTTAAGGATAATAAGAGGACACCCACCATGAGTTAACCAAATGGACAGCCTGTACTTTTTTTATTGTGATTGAGCATTCTTTTAAGAATTTTAATAACATACATAGGTCTTGAGGTCTAGCCAAATACCTGCCAATAAAAAAATTACATGTAATGCAATACCCCAATGGATTGTTGATATACTGAATGTGAGGCTTGGTCCTTCCTCTAACTTTAGTGAATAAATTACGTAAAAAAAATTATCTTTATCAGATTATTAGTCAATGCACGAAAAAGATAGGAAGGCACCATTAAGTAAAACCCTATTTGAAAATGTTTATGATGTGTGATAGATTAACAAAAATATGTTTTTTTTTCTAATGTGAAGTATAAATTACAGTACATAAAGTACCCTTTTATTATTTTTAATTACTTCAGAGAAAAATTTCATCAGCTGTGTTATATTATAAGAATGAAGTAATTTTATTTCAGTCAACAGCTTAAAATTGAAACAGTTTTTACCTCCAATATTTCGATGTCTAGCATAACATCTTCATCAGGGAATAAGGCTATTCAGGTGAATCGAAATATCAGAGGTAAACACTATTTCAATATTAAGCTGTTGACTGAAGAAAAATTCTTTTGAATTACTTGTTTTTCTGAATAATTGCATTTTTCATGTGGGCCATCTAAATCAGTACAGACTCTACAGTTGTACCTGAAACGGTTCCATGCTTTAGGCACAGAATTACGACCACTGCATGTAATGGGTTATGAAGCCCCCTCCTCTTTTCCACCTCTATTAGAAAACATCATTATTAAACCCATAACTGATGGAAGAAGAAATGTTGGTCCCAGGTCTTTAGTAGTTTTTTTTTCTTAGAGACTAGGGCTATCTGGGCTCAGGGTAAACATCTCATGGGGAATTTCTATTGCTCATCACTGTCATGGAAGTAAAAATATATCGCTTTTAAATTTATGATCTTAGAATAATGACCAATTTTCTTTTGTTGTGAAGGAGACTTGAGATTTAGTTGATGAAAACAAAAAATTCTTCAACACCAGACAATATAATTCCTAACAAAATGTGATCAATGCCTCTTTTGTCATTCTATATTTCAAGTAAGATAAAGATCTTTCTCCAAAGGTATTTGAGGGCTTGGTCAGTCGATTATTCAACCCAAAAGATTGCCATCATACTTATATTTTCTTTCAAGCATGCTGCTCTCCAGGTTGGCCCCTTGTTAAACAAACAGATAAATGAAACCCAAACTGACAGACAGAATAATCCCATATCAAAAAAAAAAAATAATAATAATAATAATAATAAATGTTACTAATTGCTTACTTTTCCATTTTTTCCGCTGCATATCATTGTATGATAAAAAGATAAAACAAAATGTGCTTACATGCAATGAAAGATGTCCAGTAACACTTAAAATGCATTTTCAACATTTTACACAATATTTGCCCTCTTGCAACTTTTAAATAACAATAACAGGTTAGGGGAAGTAAAATGCAACTGGAAATTCTTACATACAGGAACATTTGATAATTATTTGATGGAGCATGCTGACATCTGTTGATTTTAACTTGTGTCTTCAAAGATTTTTTAAAAAATAAAATGTACCATTAAATATACCAAACAAATCATATTAAATCTTTCTAGCAAGAGGGATGTAACTTTACCTTGTTCTAGGTTTAAACAGTACCACAGATTAGTACACTTAAAAGCATTCAGTATAGCTAGACTGTCCTTGTAAAAGGGGGAATTATTGCCTTCCTGCTATTTTGGAATAAATGATGAACTGCCTTGAGCAGGGCGAATCAGAGGATTGTTTTATTTTAATTGGATGAAAATGATTTTTGCTTTTATTTATTATTATTATTAATTTATTTTATTTTTTTGTATTAAGAATATCATCAATAATTTTTTGCCAGTCATGACATTCTTTTACTTTAATTGGATCCAAAGCTTTTTTCCTTCGTTAGTTTTTACAAATAGGCTGCATTTTTGGGTAAATCAGATGTATTACTACTATTTCATTTAAAAAATAGTTTCACAGGTAGAAAATATAGGGTCTGTCACAAAGACAAAAATCAAAATGGAACTTAGAGACAAAATATGCTGTAGGTAAGCCAAAAAACCAAGTTATACCACAAATGTGAACACCCTGAGATCAGCACTGTCAATAAAACCACAGGAATCCACTCACAGATTGCAGGGGATTGCCACAAATGGTGACATCTCTGCATTCACACACCACTCTGGCATCATAAATGAGGCCACAATGAAGTGCCATTACAACAAGAAGCCTTTAAAAAGATGGAAAATAGTGAAGTTTAAAAACACATAATTTATTATCATGGATGCTTGTATTTATCTACCAATTGAGTATATTATGTGAAATAATACATCAGCCATGCTGGCATGTTGGGGATGTGTCACAAGTATAATATCTGGCTGGCAGACAGGGAGATGCAATTTGCTGAGCAAAGAGTCCTACAGATGTGTATCTTAAAAACAGACATGTTCCAGGTCAATGCACAGGCACAGCTGACGTTGACACTTTTGACAATTGCGTGTCATAAAAGTTAATGCATTATGAAAACTGCACAGCTTTGGGTCATCCTCCCTATGCATGCTTGTTACAAGAGCATAAGGAAATAGCAAACATTCATCTGCTGAATGCATATTTTTTTTTGCAATAGAGATAGAGATATACAGTGAAGTGGCACTTTTCTATGACAGAGACAACAGTGGGGTAAAAGACTGAGCTGCACTACATGGATTTTATTTTACATCATATAAATGTCATTTAAACAGCTGGGATAAAAGCCACTCATTCAATATTTAGTTAATTTATTCATTTATTATGCTCTATCATTTTTAACCAGTGAATATACAAAAAAAAAAAAGAAAAAAAAAATTATTTAGATCAATAGCAACCATAATGCTATACAAGCATTCTGGGTGGACCGTATTAATACATGAGCAAATTGACCTTTTAACTACATCATAACCCACATGTTATTGCTGACATATTAAAGCCCCTGATTCGCAAAATTGAATAAGAATAACGGGCAGCCTGGTATCTTGAATGTGAGTCCCCTGAAGATGATTCAAAGTGGATTTAACATCCACAATGTGCCTACCAGTAGAGTAATTGCATAAAAATCTGTATCTCAGTTTGCCACTGCAACTGTTTGCAAGTGGAAGCCTGACGTAGGGGCCGTAGCGATAGTCCGAAGGTTCAATAGTCCGAAGGTTCATTGGTCCGAATGTTCACTATAGAACCTTCGGACCAATGAACCCTTGATTAAAAAATCGATGAAAATGTAACCACTTTTCGGACCAATGAACCTTCGGACTATCGAGACGCCCCCCTGACGTAAACCTCTCTGATTTAAATAACTGTATTGTGTAAAAAGACAAGAGTGTTTCAGTGAAATTGCATTGGGGTTGACTGATCTAAAAAAAAAAACGGTGGAATAGTTCCAGTCTATTTTTTTTTTTTTTTTTTTGGGGGGGGGGGGAGGGAGTATCACATCTCAACAGACAGCCACAAGGCAATATGACTTCTAACCAGCCCCACAGCTCTGCTAGGGCCTTACTAATTTACAGTGGCAGAAGGCGAGACGCACAATGGATTGGACCGACTCCCTGTGGTTAGTTACTGGTAATCATACAATCTTCTAAGATATTACATACTATAGGTATATAACCATGACAACTGAACTAAAAATTTTCTCTTAGGCTTCAGACATTCATGTACAACATGGCAATATCTACCTTAACATTGCATGTCAATAAAGAAAAAGCCACACAAGTGTAGAGAAAAAAAGAAAAGTGGTGATTGATTACTCTTATTGCACACCAACTTCCTTTGATTCTTTAATCATCCTTTATTGTTTCAAGATCTAAAATTAAATATCCTGCCCACAGGCAGTGAACTACAAGCAATAGTTCCACTTTTATTGAACTACGCCTTATTAACTGGAGCATGAATTCTCCATGCCACGCTTCCCTAGCCATCTGCAACCATTGCTTGAACCACGACCCATGGCATTTTGTCATGAAAAGAACAAATACTGTGCTAGTTAGTCCTTCTTTGTAACTCACCACACTCAGCTTTAAGTACACACATTAGCAATATTAATCCTCCAGGATGCAATTTAGTTAAATTTGAATCAATACAACAGAAACAAGTTAGTACATCCTCTTAGTACCAGTACTGCCTTAAAAATTATTGCCCATGTTGTGCAGTATTGCACGCAAGCTCCCATCTTATCAATCATACATGTGGCTGCTCTTATTTGTACGACCGGTAGATGAGCGCATCCCACAAGCAAGACAAACCAGTTTTGATGTATGTGGTGGGAACAAAGAGTTCACAGTCCCTCATAATTTTAAATGGATCAGGTCAGGCAAACAGACAAAAATGTTAAATAATAAAAGATCTTGAGAAAGTTAACAAAGATCATCCCACATATCTAAAAGGAGCAAAGAACACCAAAGATAAGCATATCCCAAAAGTCAAATAATTATGACATCATGAGGCCTTGATTATAGAATAAAAAATCACACAATGCATCTAATGACCCTAAAAACCCTGTCCTTGGCTCTTAGAAAAATACATGAATCACAATCTTGAAAAAGTACTTGGTACAATTTATTTTGCCATGTTTTACACCAATGCCATCAAACTTACTAGTTCTACAAGTGAGAAGCTACATCATTAAAGGTAAGAAAAAGTGATAAGAACACCTTAGGTTACCACAAACACGTCAGGTACTATGTCTGGTGACCTGATAAACGCTACTAGGTCACATGTGAAAAACAGTTACATGCTTATTATCTGACTCCACTGATTCAACTGCACGTCTCTGGAACATCTACTTACACAGGTTATCCATGAGACTAGAACTGTATTCCTTTCACCCTAAAAACCTCAATAAAATATCATAAAAATTGCATCTTCTACACCTCAAAGGGCTTTCAATTTACAATTTATTCATCAAAACATATCATTATAGCACTAGAGGGAAAATTCAGTAATACATTTAGTATGATCAGCAAATTTGTATCTCAGCAGTCTACAATTACACTTTCTCTAACAAAAAAAAAAAAAAAAAAAAAAAAAAAAAAAATATATATATATATATATATATATATATTTGCAATGTAATCAATATTTAATAGCTTATCACCCACATAAAAACACAGGCAAGTAATGACTGCCCAATTTCCTTTAATAAAGAAGAGTTCAGCTGAAATTAGCCCATATTTATAGTTTTCTTCAATCTTAATCTATCTATTCTTTTTCACTTTTATGATCTTTTTTATTTATTTCATTATGTTTTTTGACATTTTACATGAAGTAAAATTTTGCCAGTTTAATATCTAATTTTTGGAAAAATCAGGTCAACAACTTACAAAAAATATGAGTGATGATAAAACCTTCATACCACATTCTGGACATGAAACATCAAGTAAGGATTAACAACTAGGAATACTTGAGACCAATTAAAGTTAAAACTAAATCTACACAATAACTTTAATGTAGCCCTTATGCAGCCAATATGGACAATAAGTTTCCATGTGTACAACATTACTGATTTAAAAATGAAACCACATTATTGGTACATACATTTTTATGACTGTAACATGTGTGGTTCCATCTAACAAAATGTAACAGTTTGTCTTGAAAGACTCTTTTGATCTTTACATAACTGTCAAAATATCTGCCGCTCCAGCTTATTTCATACTCATATGAAAAACACCAAAATGCACACACAGGATAAAAAGGTCTAACTGGACGAAAGTTAAAGAGGGACTAAGAACAAAGCCTAAAACATGTTTCAAAATGATGTTAACTGACAGAATTTAATTCCAATTTTATGTAACTTATTTTCTTTTATGAGCATAGATTTGTATTAAGCGATCAGTTTCAGGAGGGGGTGAAAGTAACAGTAAATGGCTTTACAAGAGAATTATTTAAAAAAAAACTTGGACCTTAAACCCATGACATCTAACGATGTGTACTAGGACAAAGACTTAGCTTATACATCTGAATTTATGCATCTAAAAATAATACTTAAAGAGGGACTGCTGGAGCAGTATATCTTTCCTCCGCATGTCCAGAGCACTGCAATTTATGACCTTACTATTTCACAGATACCAAATATTGACATGCTGTCACTGTGGGATTCAATTAGTCTATTCTAATTTGACTAGAGGTTGGTAATGAATTTGTACAAGAGTATCATAAGCACAAAGTCATATAATTCATTTGTTGTCCTATCACTTAATTTCTCCCTGTAGACTTGTGCAATTGTGCAATGCCACACCAATCTGATTCTCCCTGGACCTGTCCTCAGACCACAGATTGCAGTGAATAGATTTCTCTGTAGATCTATAATAATGTAATTTTGACAAGTAACACTCTGCAAAGATGTCTGGCCTGGGGGACCAGTAGAACTGTGGCACACTGCAATCATCTAAAACATGTGATCCATGACATTTTCTACCTACACGTATTGTTTGATAACACGAAAAACCAACATTACTAATAATTTTCACTTTGTACCAAACAACTTAGCAGGGTAACCTTTAATTGAACAAACAAAAAATTCTGACATTATCATGAAAACTTTTTGGCTGTTATGTGATGTTATTTCTATTTTAGGCCCACATAGCCGCTAGTTATTTTTACTATGCCAGATCATCCAGCCATAAATTATTCCTGTGATGGGAAGATTCATCATGCAAAACACCTCTGTACCATGAATTTCAAATAACTACTCAATGTAACTCATTAGAAGTACAAAGAACTTTTCAGATAAAATGTTTTGTTTGGAACAATGTGAAGGGAAAAGTTTATGGCACTGACAAGAAGAAAAACCGTAAGTAAGTATTTTTTTAACTCTCCACAACTAAGACTTTGGTCAAATTTCATTCATTCATTATTTTCACAATTCCAAAACACAGATACTGAAGAATCAAGTACAGTATTTCTACTTTTATTCTTGCAGTTTTACACATTTCATAATTAACATTAATGAATAACTGCATTTGCTATTTTTCTAAATCATCACTGAATAACCAATTTTAATTGTTAAAAAAAAACAGAAAAAAGTATTAACAAAATATAACAATGCCTTCTTAACAATACCTTATAAACAAGAGAAAGGAAACTAAATAGACCAACAATAAAAAAGTGTAATTGGTGGTTAACATCAACAATTGTGGTGCCTCTGCTCTTTCTCTTCAATTATACATAATTTGTTTTTTGACATGCAATATACATGTTCACCTGACTCTCCAACAACTGATGTCATGTCCGTCCTATTCATTAGTAGTCAATAACCTACCAGGAAAAAGTGTGGACATGAAAGTTTTGCGTTATTTGCTCCCAAGGGAAAACCATGGTCTGCACATATCAAATTATTACATTTCTATTAATATTAATACCATAGGCTACTTCAGGCAAGGGTGCAGACATAGTTCTCCCCTGGAGGGTAAAGTATCCAAGAGGAGAGTGACTTTATGCATGCGACAGTGAACTTCACACAATCACAAGGCAGCAAGTCATAGGACTGGAAACTGTAGAATTATCCATTTTTTTCTCCTTGTCTTAACCTTGTACGCTCAGGATTTACAGAAATATTAATATGATACCTCTTTAAATGTCTTAAGGAAACCAAACTACAGTTAATTCAAATCATTAAACATGAATATATTCTAGACTTGGGTGTAATGGCACAATATTCAGGTGTGTCACAACTTCAATTGGTAGAATGTGAACTCCTTGGTAAACATGCTCAATAAAAGATCATTTTTATTTGACAAGTCTTTTTGTTTTAGATACATTAAATTAAAGACACATGGGAATGTTTGCATATAACTTAATTTAATGTCCGATTGTCTGGTTTATGTACACCATGATGATCCCAGAAATTTCATTAACTAATTATTTTTCCGTTCCTTTATCTTTTCATATTTAAAATGCTTTAAACTCAACTCCCTTCACTTATCAACTATCCCCTGCAACTCCTATTCCGCAGTAATCCTCAAAAACAAAACCAACCAGATGTTCACATTCTGCAATCCTCTATAAAATCTATGAAGTCATTCAATCTTTCCTCCTCCCTGTACTTGTCACACAGGGAGACAGTCTTGGTGAACTCCACAGTTTTTGTATCATAGTAGATCTCCAACACCTTGATGCTCTGCAAAGCTTTAATAGCATTCTTCAAGCACTCCATAGAAACACTTTCAGCTAAAACATAAAATTACATAATTTTTATAGCCTTCTCTACAGGTTATGCCCTCTTAACTGAAAAAACTGTCAAATGTAAATCTGATAAGTGTTTTGCTTGATTCACTCAAGAAGCATTATTTTAAGAATTCTATTGAAATAGAAATTTCACAAGAAACACACTACTTAACATCTCTTACCAAATTCTGCCACTCCATCTTCAACTCTGTCTAAGGCAATTTGATGAATAGTACCCAAGAACTCATTTTCTGAAATGCCAAGTTAATATTCAGAAACCACCCTTTTAAAACTAAAATCATCATGCAAAACGATGATTAAAAGATAAAATAAAATCAAAATCTGGATATAATTGTAAATAAAAATATTATCTCTCCTCAATCAGAAATACAAAGCACTACACTTGTCTATCAATTTTCTTATCACAGAAAACAAAGCCATCCTTTTGTTTCTGTTTTTACCTGGCATATCCTCTTTCAAAAGCCTGGTCAAGGACTGCACTACTATCCAGTAAGACTCAATATATGGAGCCAGGACAGTCAGTAAGAAGTTGAAGCGATTATAGCAGTCAGGTTCATCTAGAAGAACCTGAAATTAACACCAAAAATTAATGACACCACTTTTCTAATCCACTGCATTAAATAATACTGAAAGGTCTTGTGTATAAAAAGATTGTAAAAAGCACTTCAAAACAACTTGCATTCTGCAAAGACATGTTTCCCTTTTGCTTAACATTTTGGTTTGTGGTAGAGCACAGCAAGAATGTGACCTGATCAGTTGCTGCTTTACCTAACCAGTATTTGAAGGTCCCCACCTGCAATTTCTTAAATGCAACCTCTTCCTCCTCCTCTTCATCTGAGCTGTATTCTTGCATCTTTAAACTGGAGGCAAACCGTTTTGCCCACTGCATTTCCCTGGAGTCAGTGTATGCAGAGTGGAGGGAGGATTCCTCTTCTCTCAAGATTTCATATGTGATCAGCTTATCCATGGCACTGCTTAGCTCTGTCCCAAGACTTGTGCAAGGCTGTAGAAATGCAAAAAGCATTTTTTTCTATGCTACAGTAAAACCAGGATCTGTTGGATGAAGCTGTGCTAACTTAAGTTCCATTTACTCATCACCTTTCCTTAAGACTATTATCACATGTTATCTGAAAACTCTGACTTCATCTTATTTACTTATTTTATAATATATTTTTTTAATATTTGCATTCCAAACATAATATCAAGGGAACAATTAATGAACAAAAGTAGGATCAAGTTGGTAAATATTCATTGCTTAAGCAGTCACTTATCAAGGGCTGTACTGCAATGAAGACTTACTGGAACAAATAAAAACTCATACTGCAGCAGTGCACACAGCCTTTGAGCTTTCTCCATGACTTCATCATGAGAAACAAAAACATCTGTTGTAGAAATGTGGCGAATGTCAAGATCATCAGAGGCAACACCATACACTGTTGTGGCTGAAAATAATAGCAACAGACAAGATAAAACAAACACGATGGTTATCTGTTGGAAAAATGTCATGTCAATAAAATAATTAGACAAAACATCCATCATTTGCTGACGCTCATTGGTTTTCCAAAACAACATAAAAGATAAAGCAATAATTCAATTTCAGATGGTCAAAATACAATGAACTTCTTTTCTTTCAATAAAAATGCTAAAAAAACTAATGATGCTTAAAGGGATAATAACTCTTCGTTTCGGCCAAAAATGAATTTTCCTGGAGTAAACAACAATTTTCCCATACTTGCCAATGGTTAATGACTCCATTTTTACATTCAAAGTTAGTCCCTGGTTTTTTTCTAAAAAGTTTGGTTTTTTGTTAAAATCTCTTAAGAGATTTTAACAGAGTATAGCTATCAATGGTCTAAAGACAAGCTCAGATATCAGAATAATAGCTATAACTGCCGTTTTTGTGGTAAAACAGAATATATTATATTTCTATGAGCTATACACAATGTTTTTATTGTGAAATATAGATCTTATACAAAGAGTTATTATCCCTTAAATAATCTTTATTTCATTTCATCAATTTTTATTATTTTTCTTGGAAGGCAAACTGATGAATTATAAAACCTGCAACCATATACCATGTCTCAACCATAAAAAATAAAAAATTAAATAAAATAATAAATAAATAAATTTAAAAAATAATAACATCTGTTGCTGCAGTGTCTCTGGATAATCCCTGTTTAATGTACTGCTTTCACAAACTCTGATCACCATAATTAGATACTATCCTTATTTTTTTATGGAGCCCTCAAAGACTTAATTTAGCTTCTTTCATCATTTCACAAAACAGAGATACAATAAAGAAACTGTGCCACACAAATTATTGATTAACTCCACAGTGCAAGTGTCTAGAAAATGCAATATCCAGTCTCTTTGTACTCCAACTTATCAACCCTTCTGAAGAAATTCCCAAGTTATAAAAACTGATTTCCATTTTACATTGTAAATACATAACCGCAGCCTTTAAGGAAGCAGGAAAGCAAACCAAGTGTAAAGTATTCTTAAATAAAGAGCTATAAATTGTTCTTTAGGAGAATGTGACACTTGCATTAATGGTCTTTTGGTAATTTAAAGCTTCTTTTAGAAATATTAGGCCAAGCTATATCAACATCATGGCCAAATGACAAATGTGCTTTTATTACTTTTACAATTTCCTGAAGTACAATGTTCCCAACCGAAGTTCAGATACATGCACTCTTGTCAACTGTAATAGCTTTAAAGAAAACCTTTTCTACAATCTCAAATGATATCAAAATTGGAAATCCCTATTCTTGATAAATAACATTCAGGGAGACAAATTTGTCAAAACTGTTCAATTTCTTAACTTTTTATCCAGTTATTCATATGCTTCACAATACTTGAGAATAACCAAATCATTTAAATAATGTTTGTGTAAAACTCAAGTACCATATAATTATAGGACATGAGAATTTCTGAATATCCCACCTTTTTATGCTATATCAGCATACATCAATTAAATCATTGATCAATAGAACTTAAATTCATGAAGTATAAATAACCTAAATGGCAGCAACACACTTTGGCCTAAATAAAACGCTTTCTACAGATTAAACATATAGGAATGAAAATCATATGCTAAGTCAAACTCCTAATTGGGTAAAACTGTCAATCTTCATTAAATTAAATCATCAAAATATAAAACAGAAATTCATTTTGAAATTTAACATGTCACAATGCACTGATTACACTTACAAGACCTTGCAAACAGATATCTTTAAATGATATAATAGTATTTGGCATGTTAACCAAATTATCATGAATTATGTCCAGGCCCTGCGCAGTAAGGTTTAATGAGTCAGAAACAAAATATGTTATTTTTTCAAGATAAATTACAAAACTGGGTTTTGAGGTGTTGTCACCAGTTACCGAGTCAGAGTGCAGATAAAGGGAGCAGCATTGTTCTCTTTTATAAACCCAATCATACTAAGATTCTTCATGTGAGCATTAAGGCATGTTCACAGAAAGACCAACTAAAACCAAGTATAGACTGAATGGGGCCATTCAGAAAAGAAGATTCGAGTATCAACTGGTCCAAAGCTCAAATATGGCAGACCCTACATGAAAGGAAGACCACTTAATCCAGTAATGGTCTCCCTGCCTCACACACGCCTCCCCACGCATCTGGTCAAATGGAGTGAGAGATTTATTTACTGTGGCTGAGAGACCATTACAGGACAGTCTTCTTTTCAGGTAAGGTCCGCCATCCCAGATGGTTGAGGTAAGTTTGGCGTTAACAATTAAGAGGAACTTTCACACCAGTCACCAGTGACATTCCTGTCAGAGACCAATCAACTTTTATCCCTGCACTCAGTCAATCAGTTATTCATTAATTAAAACTTGTCAACAAAGGAGCATGCAGAGCAACTGTGGGAGAGACCTATTGCTGGGAAGGACTTTTTGACCAGGGTCATAAATGAAATGTTTCTTTCAATTTAAAAACCAAGATATGTACCATTTCCATATTTTTTTTAAAATCCCACTGATTGAGAAAGGTATTGGACAAAAATAAATTAATGAATTAAATTGTGTTAAGTGCCACGATCATTTCTACCTTGCTTTGAGAAAGTGTCTTGTTTCTGATATAGTTGGTTCACTGGCATACATTTAATACATGCCTATTATACTTTCCATAAGGAAGACACTAATGGCTCCACTGGCGTAGTATCTGAGTTCAAATACATCAGGCAAGCAGGTCACTGGCTCAAAATACATCAACTCTGTGCCAATGCTATCCTCACTGCCAGCAAGACTGCAAAATGAAAAATTAAATCATCACTCACCCAGACATAAAAATATGTTACAAAAGAAAAGTAAATATTCACCAAAGAAACATACTTCTCTAGAATCACCTCAGATCACTTCCTACTAAATGCGATTAGTACTTCAGTTTAAATTTTCAAGACAGTATAACAGAGAATAACATAACCAAGGGACCAACCTGTCATCAGCTGGCACACTGTATTTCTTCACCACGTTGTCCCCTAGAACATCTGCCGCATACTGTATGACAGTTGGTGCCCTTCCAACAAAACCAACATCTCTTCCTCTGAATGTTATCTCCTCTTTCAGCCATTCAAAACTTTGTACAAGCTCTTCTAATCTTGCACCCTATGAATCAGAAAAGGAAATGCTGGATTTTAACAAAATATTAACATAAAGCAAAGATGACAAATATACACACAACTGACAGGAAGAAAGTAATTCCCATTCCTCCATTTAAACATTACTTGATACCTGCCATTTAACTAATGAAAGCTATTCAGCAAATATAAAGTAATACAAAAATATGTTTTGGCACTCATATAGTAAACATTACCTAAAAATCTAATAATAATAATAATAATAATAATAATAATAATAATAAAGAATGACTTTTGTAAAATTTGCCCAATCATGCAGATTTTCAAAAAGAAATTGCCTTTTTATCAAACAAATAGTGAATTAAAATAAAACACGGTTTGGCATTAATAAAATGGACAATAAATGTGTTGAATAACAACGTCACTGGTGGCAACACAGGCAGAGACAATGTTCATAACATATACAGACACATTGTGTCTATATACAAAAAGTCACTATTCGCTATTATCTTGTAAATCACTGATGTTGTTACTAATTATTTGGCCTCAACAGATTATTTTGTCTAAAAATCTCCCAGAAAAAAATAACATGGACCTACTCTTTAACATTTTGTACAAAATATGTGCACCAAGTAGGTTATGTTTATGTTCCGTAAGTCAGTATGTTTGTAAGTTAGTTTGTCTGTTCACAACATTATACAAAAAGTTAAGGATAGATTATGATGAATTTTCAAAATAGATCAGAAATGGACCAAGGAACAAATGATTATTTTCTTGATACATTAACCTTTTTTTAATCATAGAATACCTTTCTGTGTTTGGTGACAAGCAGGAATGCCAGCATGGTAGTGCACATTATAGTGGAACTATTCACAAAAGCTGAAATTAAATCCTCAAATTCATTTTCAGATCTAATGACTACACCACACTGACTGAAACTAATAGCATCATTTGAAAGAGTTCTTTTGAATTTCCCTTTTATGTAAGATATAATATAAGCCTTAGGGCAAACGCTTTATACATTTACAGCTTCAAGCTGCTCTTGTTAGTTTTTATAGTACAATGATTGAGGAGAAAGTATTAACATGTTATGCATTAAGTCACAATATTTGCATTAACAAAGTCACAATATATGCATATGAAGCATTGCTCAGATTTTTTTTAAATCCATGAATATCTGAAATATCGAAATATTTTCAGGACTTACTGTATACTACATGCTGTGCCAAGTCTTTCACAGTCTGTCTCTGGTCTTCCACAACCACATCAGTTCCATACAAAGATGTCAAACTGCCAGACGGGCGTAACTTGCCAGATGACCTGCGTGCTCGAGAAAAACTGTTCCTGCGAGACTCAAGGTTTTCTTTACGAGCCTCCATGTTAGTGTATTGAGCAGACTGAAGATATTCCTACAAATAAAAAATCAATAATAATGAATTCCACTATCTTGAGTATGCCATGAAATAATTACAGTAGTAATTTATTAAAATAAAAACTTATGCACAGATTACATGTAAATTTTCAAAATAAAGAAATACAAAAAAAAAAAAAAAAAAACACTGACCTTGAGTGAGAAAGGTTGTGCGAAGTCCACCCTAATGTTACCATAATGTGACATGAGAACTCTCCAGACAGCTTTCAAAGCTCCCCAGAATGTCTCCTTTATCTTTTGTTCACCCTGATAAATATTACATTTCTAGGCCTTAACATGCAGGAAATTTAATTTTAAGAAAGCTACATTGCATGTTTAAAAGCTCAAACATGATATACTTTTCTGGTCACTGATATTTTCCAAACTATGGATAATATGGATAATTATTCAATGTGGATTTCAAATCACTTAAGACATCATATAAGAAATTTAAAATATCTGAGTGTAAAACTCACCATCTGCTCTCTGATGAAAAAAGTACCATCTAAAATCTTTTCATAATTGATACTGACGGGAATAATGTAAGCATCTTCTAAGAGGCCTGAAAAACACAATCTTAATTTAACCAAAAAGTGTCCATTATCAGTGACCTTTTTGGTCTCAAATTTACATTAAAAGGTATCGATTTTTTCTACACATCCTGACCCTTAGTTATCAAAAGCTGACCCATGTTTCTTTACATTTCCCTTACCATCCATGTATGAGTCAATGACTACAGACAACAGTCCTCCTTTGGGTGCAGCAGCCTTGCCACTCCTGGTCCTTCCTCCTTCAATGAAAAACTCCATATTCTGTCCTGCTCGTAAAAGCTCCTGCATGTACTGAAATTAAAAATTAGCTCAAACACACACTGCTGGTTCTTCAAATCTTTTATAGAAAGCTAACATATACAATATCTGACATGCTGTCAAGTTTGTGTGTAGATGCACATGACTTTGCACATAATATTTTGTCACTTACAGTGTGCAAAACAGCTCTGTACAGCAGGTCTTTCTTTCCTTCTACTTTGTCCAACTTTCTTCTTATAAAATAACCACCAAGCCCTCTCATGAAAGATCTGAAATTAACACAATGCATTTCAGACAATTAATTTTAGGGAATCAGTGTGTCCAAAAATACCCTATTAACCATATTTAACTAGTATACAAACACATTTATTAATTAATATATGAAAAGACCAGAGATTTGATAAAACAATTTTTGTTATGCAACTTACATGAATACAAAAAGAATCTCACATGTTAATACCATAATTTCTTTAGCATCATGGTAGTACATGTATGCATGCAATTAAGCAAACTCACCCAAAAACCGGAATCATCAGGTTGTCCCCTGCAGCGACATGGGGCACCTTGATCCCATAGTTGTACAGAATAAAAGTTACAACTACATAGTCAAGGTGACTACGATGGTGGGGCAGAAAGATCAAAGGATGACTGCTCTAGAAATAGGCAATTCATTTTTATGTTACCATCCAAGAAAAAAATAAACAGATAAAGTACTGCATGAGAGTTCCAAATTACAAAATATTATTAGTATTTTTTGCATAACCCACCTTATAGAGATTTTCAGTTTATTTTCAGCTACTCTAGGTGTATATGTAAATATAAAGCAAGTACTCAGGCACAGTCAGCTCAAGACTCCTATCCTCCAATTCAAGCAGCTTACATAAACTGATTTCTGGCATAACCGAGCTATTTCAAACAATAAATGTACTTTAGCTTTACATAGGGGAAAATACAAATATTCAATTCAGTTGTGTCTGACAGATATCAACTCAAAGACTGTGTACTATGTGAGGTACCTCTGCAGCTTTCTGAACCATTTCCATCTGACCTTTGTGAACTTGAACTGTTGACAAGAAGTACCTCAGGACTCTGTGCAATACCCATGAGGTTAACCTGGAATTACACTCTGCCTTTGCAATACTCGAGGATATATGTTTTTTTTTTTTTGTAACCTCTGATGAAAACCAAGAATTTTTTGCCATATATATATTGTCTTTAACATGGCATTCTATTTTATAAAATAACTCATAATATGCAATGAACATACTTAGGGTAACACATCATCAAGTTAACATGTGCATTAATATTTCTGACTTGTGATTGTCCTAGTAAAATAAATTGAAGTCTAGTTGTCTTGAAATAGTAATATTGACAAAAAACTAGCAACATATTTATGTTAAACAGAAATACACTTACTTGAGCAGAGACAGGGATATACCCGCTTTCATTTTACTAAGCAAATGATTAGCCCGTTTCATATGGAATGCAAGTTTCTCGGGCAACTGTTTGGGATCTTCAAATTCTTCTTCATTATCTAAGGAAAATGTTGTAGCTGCAAAAGGTATGACAAAAAATAAATAATAATAAATTATGAGTGCAAATAATTAATCACAAACACAGAGAACAAAAGAACTGTCTTATGCTACTGGTTAGTTATATTCAAAGGAGTTTTTTTGTTTTGTTTTGTTTTGTTTTGTTTTGGTAATTCATTGACAAATAATAGTAATTCAGATTCAGTTCTTGGAAGGTATCCAAATAAGTTTGTTTGGGATGAAGCATGAGCTGCACATGCTTTGGCCAGTTTCCCATTGCAAAATCCAGCACATGTAACCACAAGCCATACCTTCCTTTGGACAATCCTGCCTTGCACATGTATCAAGAGTGGCCTGGATTCTGTAAAAGAAAATTTCAGTAAGTGCATCAGTACAACTGCAGCATTACCAGTGTTAGAAATACAGAGCATTACATGTATGATGCCATCTTTCCCAGAGGCAATGGTAATGCCTATTTGTGGTAGCCCATCCACCATGTACATGCTCTATAGACCAGAATCTCTCTCTTCATATCCCATTTTAGTTACATGCCCTACAGTATTTTTATTCTCTGTAACATTTTCTATTATCATGATATCAAAGTAAAAAGATCCCCCCAAAAATGTACAATGTCCTTATATGAAAAGACAAATAGAAATATTTACCTTTTACTTTTCATGACTTGTTTAGCTACGTCTGGGTAAGTGATAGACGACTGCGTCCTAGACTGCAAGGTACAGCTGAAGGACATGCACACTCTGGCAAGATAACCTTTCCTCCTCCTGGACAGAAATGTCAAGGTTTCATAATTACTACAATACCTGGTTATATTAACAAAATTAAATTTGTGACTTTATTGTATAATGTATTAATGATACTTCAAAATGAATCTAAGAAACCTTATTTTTTACATATTTTGATAATTACACATTAGCTGTGTATTCATGTAAGCTTACCTATATTCATCATATTCACGAAATACATCAGCAATATCTGGTTTTGATGTTGACTCCTGGTATAACCAATTCTGTCAAAACAAAACATATAGGAACATCTTTGATTTTCTTCCACACAAGAAGATACATAAATTAAAATTTATACCAAATAATCAACATACTGATTTCACCTCTTCAGTCATGATCTCAGTTTCAAATAAGGTACATTTGTTTGGTCAGACCCAAGAGACAATGACTGCATTCCCACAGATTTTAGATCGATCTATCCCTGTGGGGAGTCTCACTAGATTACTGTCAGCTTAGCCGGCTTACTAGTAAATGTCTATCCCTCCTACTGAAAGCTGTGCATGCTCGGCTGACAGCGATTTAGCACGAACCCCCAGGGAGTTAGGTCGATCCAGATGGATCGATCTAAATCTGTGGGAATGCAGTCAAAGACAAACTTGTAATCTGGCTTAAACAGTGCAGTACACACAACATCCACCTAGAAAATTTAATCTACTTGTATTACAGTACGGCTGGATTTATCCAGTTTGGGCTTATTAAATTTCTTAATATCAACACAGTTATCACATTTTGCAGAGGACTGGCTGATATCCATAGTCTACTTACCCTGCTGTTAGATAAACATTTTTCACAACATCTGCCCATAAACGGCCTTTGGAACTTATTGGTTTGAGGTGCAATGATAGGCATCACCTTAAAGAATCCCAAACTGGTGCCCAAGGGCTGAAAAAATGTCACAATAATCAAAACATATGTACTAGTACTCTGCATATCTATTTTGGTATTTCTATATTTGAATTTTTAATTGTTAAAAAATCAATAATCTAGAGCTCAACAGTATAGTATAGTATATTATACATTGATTAATGAATCATCATGATGATCAATAGGATTGTAGTTGTTTAATGTTAAAAATGGTGCCCGTAAACTAGTAGCCATGCATTAAATATTGACATTTTTTGTATGATAAAAGGCTTAGTATTAGGACAGTTAGAGCGTCTTAAGCCTTGTAAAAACATTTATTTCTACTTGACTCATCAAATCATATTTTGTAAGCTGTTTTCTAAGAAAACTGGCCATCCAAATAACAGCTGGATAGCTCTCTGGTAAAAGGTGTGTGGTTCACACTACTGATTAAAACTGCAAAGGAGACTGGGGAACATTAAAAACTACATGTCTATTCAATCACTTAAGTTCTTAATTCAGAAATTTAAACCTCAATATTAAGAATGGACTGTTTTAATACTGTTTCAAAAGTGAACCTATCTGTGCCAGACAGTTCATTTAAACTGTCAAATGTACAGGCCATGGTGGCAGACTTACAACAGAGACTCCAGTGAACTTGTTCCTGTATTTTGATCTTCTCTGAGGAGGCTGTAGATTGTCTCCAAACTTGTCCTTCCATGCCTGCCTTCCAGCCTGCAAGTTGACAGACAGACCAGCTGGAGGTTCATAACCCTGCGTATTCTTTAAGTAAGGATTTCCTTTCTGTTCCCATTTGGCATACACTTGCTTCAGGTTATCAAAGTTCTCCATAATGGTAAAAATTAAAGGAATATTATTTACTCCATTTCCATGACATCCTCCATATTCTTATACACCCTCATTTGGAGGTTCTTTCATAGGCAGTGAAAGACATTTCATACCTAAAAGAAAATAACAAAATTTAGTAAGAACTGGGCAAATGTTCATTATCTTCCCAAGTAAGGTAATTTTAAGTGGTGTTGATGAAGGCCCTGACACTGCCACAAAAGACTGTGCTACACATGCAATTTTTAAGATAATTAACATATATTATTAACATATATTAACATATATGGTAAACTTTGTCACCTCCTTGTTCGAAAAAAAAAGTGATATTAAAGCTACTGGGGTATATTCAAACTAAACAAATAGGCATCACAATGGAAAAGCAAAACAGAGGCATGGAAGTCCACAACTTCAAAGTTTCAAAGCAAAACAGAGGCATGGAAGTCCACAATTTCAAAGTCTACTATACACTATTATTTTTCCATCATTTATCTGGCTTTCTATATATACATGTATATGTGCATATACTACAGTAGAATTCAATTATTAATCATACTGTGTGCAAGATGATGAATTTTAATGGAAAAATGAGGGGTTAATTGAAATATACACATTTTTAAAGATAAACTTATCTTACTGCCATACTTAAATGGGCACAATGCCACATGCATTGTTCTGTGCATAGCCTAGGACGACTTTGTCTAGTTGTTAAGACTAACACAACAACACAACTAATACAACAACAACAACAACATCATCAGAATTACTACTGGTATACAGCACAAATTTGAAAGGGAGTCCATCCCACATCATGATGCTTTCATTAAGAAGTCTGCTACGGGTATGAATGGTCTTGAAAAGGGATCAACTCAGGACTCGGACCCACATTTTAAACATTTTTGTTATTCTTATTGTTATTATTAATAATGCAGTTTTAAATGCAACAACGTTAACTATTTACGTCTCATACACTTTTTCATTTGTGCCAACACTTACCACTAAAAAGCACATATATCATACAACCAATAACTTGTAAACATGTATAAAAACCAGCCGCGAGCACGGTGGTACATGTACCTACAACATGACTGATATAGACTACCTTGACATAGTTTCCCAAGGTTAGCGTGAACACCAGCGCTAAATAACTGCGCATGTGCAACAGTAAGCTCTCAAAGTATGGTGGCCCCAAATCTATAAATTTTAAATCCAATGATGATGAATATCTTTTAAGTATATATATACTTCAACTCTTTCTCAATATATTTGTGCATGAGTCTTTCTTGGTGTGTGCTCGTGTGTATGTGTGTGGGCACGTATGTTTGTAATTGTAAGGGGTTATAAACTTATATAGCCTACTATAGTAGGTATAGGCCTACTCTCGCTTATAAAATACGGCAATCTGGGCACTGTACATGTACATGTACACTGCCGTTGGCCTGTTGAAGGTACTTATGCTTACTTATCATCCAGATAAAAAAAAAAACAGTTTTCCGGCATCTAATTATTCAATAATACATCTTTCCCGTGCTGACTTAAAACAATAAATATACCCTCTAAAATATAAAATATCGGCGTTTATATTTCTCGTTGCCATGTACCTATTGGTATGAGAATAAGCAACTCAAACCTTTAAGAATTTTGTAATCCCCTTTTTCTATCATCCAAAAATGAGGTTTTTCCTGCATCTAATTATTCAATAATGCATCAATTAATCTTTGTGTTGATTTACAACAATAAAAACACCTTGAAAATATAAAAGGTCGTCGTTTCAATGTATTGTAGGCCTATAAGCATATTGACAAATCAAAGCTAAAATCGTCAATTTAATTTTAACACCTTTCTATTAGGAGGTTAGATAGCAATCGGTACGAGGCGTAACGTCATCCGTGACCAAGATTTTATCACTAAAATTGGCATAGATTACCACGATTGTATGGGCTACACTTGTCCTCGTCGCATCAAATAGATATGTCCATTCCGTTTCATTTCTTTACCGTTGAACAAAAACAGTGCTCGCCTAGACAGTTATCGTCCACGACCATGCCACATTGGGGCAGAAATCACCAAATAATCTCCCATTGACGACCATACTAAGAAATGCCTGCAAAACTGCATGAACAAAAGTACTGGGTGAAACATTTCACATCCCCATGGACAGCAGACACACTGACTTAACTCCCAATGGCAAAAAAAAAAAAAAAAAAAAAAAACTGTCATCAAGTTAACTTTCGTACGAGCATTACTTGAACATGTGCACCCCTCTATTTGTAAACAAACCACTGCACCGCTCAAAGCCAGTAGCTCCCTCCGCCAGAGGTCTCACGACTGCACCACAACTCTGCCTGGTCCTGAAAAAAATTGGCTGTAGTTTACACCCTAGCCCGCTATTTTACAGCAAAATTAGACCTAAAAATACGAGAGAAATGCCAGGAAAAAAAAAGAAAAATAGCACTGATTTTCTCTCACTGAACTACATTCGTATATAACAGTCAATGATTGGACAATTTAATGCATGGTTTCTGCCCTGAAAGTACTAGTTCAAGGTCATCGTCTACGACCATACCACGTTGAAAGCACCGGTTCTCGTCCGATCACCGAAGTTAAGCAACGTCGGGCCAGGTTAGTACTTGGATGGGTGACCGCCTGGGAATACCTGGTGCCGTAGACACGTTTTTGACATTTTATTCGTAGCCGATTTCAGTTTCTTTCACTTACCACTTTTTTTTCTTTAAGTTTTCAATTTTTTCCAAATCACAGTTGCGCCGTTGTCTTCGTCTATCAGTGCGTCGGGCCACGTCTGGACTAGGATGGAAGACCGCCTGGCCACCTTTACTTGTCCTTTTTAGCGTGGCATCAAACAGATGTGTCGATTCCGTTTCATTTCCTTTCCGTCGATCAAAAACAGTGCTAGCGCGGACAGTCATCGTCTACGACCATACCACGTTGAAAGCACCGGTTCTCGTCCGATCACCGAAGTTAAGCAACGTCGGGCCAGGTTAGTACTTGGATGGGTGACCGCCTGGGAATACCTGGTGCCGTAGACACGTTTTTGACATTTTATTCGTAGCCGATTTCAGTTTCTTTCACTTACCACTTTTTTTTCTTTAAGTTTTCAATTTTTTCCAAATCACAGTTGCGCCGTTGTCTTCGTCTATCAGTGCGTCGGGCCACGTCTGGACTAGGATGGAAGACCGCCTGGCCACCTTTACTTGTCCTTTTTAGCGTCGCATCAAACAGATGTGTCGATTCCGTTTCATTTCCTTTCCGTCGATCAAAAACAGTGCTAGCGCGGACAGTCATCGTCTACGACCATACCACGTTGAAAGCACCGGTTCTCGTCCGATCACCGAAGTTAAGCAACGTCGGGCCAGGTTAGTACTTGGATGGGTGACCGCCTGGGAATACCTGGTGCCGTAGACACGTTTTTGACATTTTATTCGTAGCCGATTTCAGTTTCTTTCACTTACCACTTTTTTTTCTTTAAGTTTTCAATTTTTTCCAAATCACAGTTGCGCCGTTGTCTTCGTCTATCAGTGCGTCGGGCCACGTCTGGACTAGGATGGAAGACCGCCTGGCCACCTTTACTTGTCCTTTTTAGCGTCGCATCAAACAGATGTGTCGATTCCGTTTCATTTCCTTTCCGTCGATCAAAAACAGTGCTAGCGCGGACAGTCATCGTCTACGACCATACCACGTTGAAAGCACCGGTTCTCGTCCGATCACCGAAGTTAAGCAACGTCGGGCCAGGTTAGTACTTGGATGGGTGACCGCCTGGGAATGGGCAATGACCCCTCCAAGTACTTATCCTGGTTTCTGATCACCCCCCTTTGGGGCGCTGCTGAACGTAATTACACCCCAAGACGAGACAAGTAATTAACAACTGTCATGTAATGACTTTCTGTTTCATTTTGTAAATGAAAGGCTCGATTTTTACTAATATTTTAAGAACTGAATGATATATAATAATATATTTAAAGAATTCTCATCAACAACATAAGAAATACATGTAAAATTGAGAAAGTTTATTAGAAAAAACGTATTCCATTTAAAACTTTATTAAAAATATATTTGTAAGTCAGTTTAACAGCATGATTTTGCAGTTGCTGAATTCTCACATTATATCATCAAAATACCCGTTTTAAACTTAAAAACAGTTTACATGTAATACAAAAATACTATTTGTAGAAAATTATAGTTAATAATTTTCATTTACCACAAACTTTTTCTAAGGAAATTGAGCAATGAACATGTAACTTTGTATGAAAACTTTGCCAATCAGCAGCATGAAATTGAGCCATTGTTGCATTTCTACATTCTACCATCAAAACAAACATCTGTGAGTTAAAACAGTGTACATCTTACACAAAAATACTGTCTGTAGAAAGCGACTGTAAAACATGCATTTACTACTCTATTTCTCTATTAAAACGCTAGTCTACTAAAATTGATCAATGAACATGTAACATTACTTCATATGAAAACTTTGGCACTCATATCAGCATGAAATTGAGCAATTGTTTCATTTCTACATTTTACCAAGAAAGTAAAATCTACTGACTTAAAAACTACATCTTACACAAAAAATCTGCAAGTAGAAAATGCAAGACAGATAAACATGCGCTTGCAACTTTTATTCAATCAAAACACTAGTTTAATGAAACTGAGCAATGAACATGAGAATTCTTTTAATTAATACCCTCCTCATTTGAAAGATTGATAAGGAATGTGTCAACAACAGTTTTAAAATGATCATAATCATTATACACAACACCTTCAAAGCCTTCTGTCATTGATTTTCTTGTGGTGGGACAATATGTAAAGATCTTCTGCTTACTACCAGATGTTTTCTCCTTTGAAGGCATGTACCTTTTCTTCATTCCACCACAGTTTGGTATTTGGCACAAGCCACATGGCTTTGATGACTTCTTTGGAAGAATGGGTCTTGAGGGAATTGGTGGAGGTGGGGGCTGGAAGACCAAACCACCTGAGGAAGTCGCAGGCTGGAGAAGAGCTGCAGGACCCTGTGGCTGAGAGGGGACAACAAGGAGAACTGGAACATGTGCAGATTCTTGCGATTTAATAAGAACTGGTTTTGTCTTGCCAGTCAAGGAGCTGGCTGACTTGGAGCAGGTTGTAGCTGGCTGACTTTCATCAAATTGTAGCTTCCTCTTTTGACCTTATCTTATTCCCTTTGTGAGTGGTATCACAGGATACTGCACCTCGGTTGGGTGGTGAGAGGGATGTTGGAAGTTCAGCTGACTTGGGCATTTTGCTTTCTTCAAGGACTCTCTGATGAGGCTTAACCTTTGGTATAGCAGTTGCCACTAAATTTGCCCTTTTCTCTTCTTTAACAAGAAATGATGATATTGATTTTGCATTGATATTTGGCAAAGGCAAGTTCAAGGTACACAGTACAGGATCGTCTCTTACTCTGTCCACAAGGCGTTTATAGTCTGCCTTCACATGGGTGACTAGTTTGGATGGAGAAGTGACATACATGTAACAGGTTGGTGGTCTGTTCTTTAGAAGCTTAATAAGTAGATATAACAACCTTGACTCCTCAGTGATGGCAGCAGCCTGTGCGTAGCGCATCCATCCAAATTTGGTCTTTTGTGCAGCACTGTTTTCAGGAGAGTCTGGACCAAGGCAACGGCCAAACAAGGTGTAACCCCACTTGGACTCGTACATCTTCACAAAGTTCTTGGAGGTCTTGTCATGGTCATGAAGTTTGGAAGCAGCCATGCGTATCTGTTCTCTAAGAGGCACGGGCACTAAATGCCTGTCATCAGTGGTGAACTTTGTCAGTAGATTGGCCAAATTCTCCACTTCTTCATAGCCTGGCAGGTGTAGGTGCCTAGGACCCATCAGCACATCCTCTAGTGCAGGACTGGAGATTTCTCCTACTTGTTCAGATGTTGTGAAAACAGAGTACTTGGTATTGGCTTCATCCACTGGATCCGCCATGGAGTCTTCTTCAATCCCCTCATCTTCTTGGTCAGATTGAGTCTCCTGCTCCTCCTCCTCTTCACCATCCTCCTTTGACTGCTCTTCATCCACTGTAAAACACGAAATACAATGACCATGAATCATTAAATTGAAAGGGAAAACAAGTGCAATATTTTGCGTTCTAAACCTGTTAAGATATTCAGAAATCATCAAAATTACTTTGTTCCTCATAAAATTATGCATTTATTTTGATTTTCTTTTCTCTATCAAATAATAAAAATTATATTTGAAATCTGAATACACATCTTACCCTTTTGAATATAATATTCTCTGGATGTAAAATCAGTAGACTGGCAAAAAGCATACTCTACTCCTAAGAGTTCTCTTTCTTCAGGATCCTCATACTCTACTGGACATGGCAATGGAGCAGTAAAATTAGGCTCAAATAGGTGACGCCTGCCAAACAAAACCTCAGACTGCTGATTCAGAAGCTGAATCTGTCTTGGATCTGAGCAGGATGACAAACGTCCCCGACCTCCAGCAACACGCAGAGACTCCATTCTGTTGTTCCATTGGACAGCAAAGGAGATGAGGTACACCTGGAGAGATATCTTTAAATTATTCACTATTTCATGTAATAAATTAGGCAACCCTTTTGTATCAAATTTCTTTAAAAATTCTACCATGTTTGAGTTCACATCCACTCCTCAATAAATAAAAATTAAATCATANCGGGCCAGGTTAGTACTTGGATGGGTGACCGCCTGGCAATGGGCAATGACCCCTCCAAGTACTTATCCTGGTTTCTGATCACCCCCCTTGGGGCGCTGCTGAACGTAATTACACCCCAAGACGAGACAAGTATTTAAGAACTGTCATGTAATCACTTTCCGTTTCATTTTGTAAATGAAAGGCTTGATTTTTACTAATATTCTAAGTACTGAATGATGTATAATAATATATTTAAAGAATTCTCACCAACAACATAAGAAACACATGTAATATTGAGAAAGTTTATTAGAAAAAAAAAGTATTCCATTTCAAACTTTATTAAAAATATATTTGTAAGTCAGTTTAACCGCATGATTTTGCAGTTGCTGAATTCTCACATATCATCAAAATACCCATTTTAAACTTAAAAACAGTTTACATTTAATACAAAAATACTACTTGTAGAAAATTATAGTTAATAATTTTCATTTACCACAACTTTTTCTAAGAAATTGAGCAATGAACATGTAACTTTGTATGAAAACTTTGCCAATCAGCAGCATGAAATTGAGCCATTGTTGCATTTCTACATTCTACAATCAAAACAAACATCTGTGAGTTAGAACAGTGTACATCTTACACAAAAACACTGTCTGTAGAAAGCACCTGTAAAACATGCACTTTCTACTCTATTTCTCTATTAAAACGCTAGTCTAATAAAATTGATCAACGAACATGTAACATTACTTCATATGAAAACTTTGGCACTCATATCAGCATGAAATTGAGCAATTGTTGTATTTCTACATTTTACCAAGAAAGTAAAATCTACTGACTAAAAAACTACATCTTACACAAAAAATCTGCTCGTAGAAAATGCAAAACAGATAAACATGCGCTTGCAACTTTTATTCAATGAAAACACTATGTTAATGAAACTGAGCAATGAACGTGGGAATTCTTTTAATTAATACCCTCCTCATTTGAAAGATTAATAAGGAATGTGTCAACAACAGTTTTAAAATGATCATAATCATTATACACAACACCTTCAAAGCCTTCTGTCATTGATTTTCTTGTGGTGGGACAATATGTAAAGATCTTCTGCTTTCTCCTTTGAAGGCATGTACCTTTTCTTCATTCCACCACAGTTTGGAATTTGGCACAAGCCACATGGCTTTGATGACTTCTTTGGAAGAATGGGTCTTGAGGGAATTGGTAGAGGTGGGGGCTGGAAGACCAAACCACCTGAGGAAGTCGCAGGCTGGAGAAGAGCTGCAGGACCCTGTGGCTGAGAGGGGACAACTAGGAGAACTGGAACATGTGCAGATTCTTGCGATTTAATAAGAACTGGTTTTGTCTTGCCGGTCAAGGAGCTGGTTGACTTGGAGCAGGTTGTAGCTGGCTGACTTTCATCAAATTGTAGCTTCCTCTTTTGACCTAATCTTATTCCCTTTGTGAGTGGTATCACAGGATACTGCACCTCTGGACGGTTGGGTGGTGAGAGGGATGTTGGAAGTTCAGCTGCCTTGGGCATTTTGCTTTCTTCAAGGACTCTCTGATGAGGCTTAACCTTTGGTATAGCAGTTGCCACTAAATTTGCCCTTTTCTCTTCTTTAACAAGAAATGATGATATTGATTTTGCATTGATATTTGGCAAAGGCAAGTTCAAGGTACACAGTACAGGATCGTCTCTTACTCTGTCCACAAGGCGTTTATAGTCTGCCTTCACACGGGTGACTAGTTTGGATGGAGAAGTGACATAACAGGTTGGTGGTCTGTTCTTTAGAAGCTTAATAAGTAGATATAACAATCTTGACTCCTCAGTGATGGCAGCAGCCTGTGCGTAGCGCATCCATCCAAATTTGGTTTTTTGTGCAGCACTGTTTTCAGGAGAGTCTGGACTAAGGCAACGGCCAAACAAGGTGTAACCCCACTTGGACTCGTACATCTTCACAAAGTTCTTGGAGGTCTTGTCATGGTCATGAAGTTTGGAAGCAGCCATACGTATCTGTTCTCTGAGAGGCACGGGCACTAAATGCCTGTCATCAGTGGTCAACTTTGTCAGTAGATTGGCCAAATTCTCCACTTCCTCATAGCCTGGCAGGTGTAGGTGCCTAGGACCCATCAGCACATCCTCTAGTGCAGGACTGGAGATTTCTCCTACTTGTTCAGATGTTGTGAAAACAGAGTACTTGGTATTGGCTTCATCCACTGGATCCTCCATGGAGTCTTCTTCAATCCCCCATCTTCTTGGTCAGATTGAGTCTCCTGCTCCTCCTCCTCTTCACCATCCTCCTTTGACTGCTCTTCATCCACTGTAAAACACGAAATACAATGACCATGAATCATTAAATTGAAAGGGAAAACAAGTGCAATATTTTGCGTTCTAAACCTGTTAAGATATTCAGAAATCATCAAAATTACTTTGTTCCTCATAAAATTATGCATTTATTTTGATTTTCTTTTCTCTATCAAATAATAAAAGTTATATTTGAAATCTGAATACACATCTTACCCTTTTGAATATAATATTCTCTGGATGTAAAATCAGTAGACTGGCAAAAAGCATACTCTACTCCTAAGAGTTCTCTTTCTTCAGGATCCTGATACTCTACTGGACATGGCAGTGGAGCAGTAAAATTAGGCTCAAATAGGTGACGCCTGCCAAACAAAACCTCAGACTGCTGATTCAGAAGCTGAATCTGTCTTGGATCTGAGCAGGATGACAAACGTCCCCGACCTCCAGCAACACGCAGAGACTCCATTCTGTTGTTCCATTGGACAGCAAAGGAGATGAGGTACACCTGCAGAGATATCTTTAAATTATTCACTATTTCATGTAATAAATTAGGCAACCCTTTTGTATCAAATTTCTTAAAAAATTCTACCATGTTTGAGTTCACATCCACTCCTCAATAAATAAAAATTAAATCAAAATGTTTGTTGGTTGTTAAAAAGTAAATTGCAGTGTACAGGAATGATTGATGCATACACAGTGCTTACCTGGAATGGCATGATACCACATTTTTGAGAAGGAACAGCTCTAAATAGGTGGGCATGCAGACCTTCCAGAGAGTTGCTTCCCCTATGACACCTGTACTTTTGCAGGGCTACACCATTGATGGTGACCGTCTTAGTGGCTACGTATAATGCTATACCAGGTGGGTCCTGAAATATATAAATT